GCCGTGGTCTAGGCAACACGGAGTTTTCCTCCGGGGGCTTCCCCGGTTTATCCGTGGCATCCCAACAATTACTCCATTCACACACAGAAGAAGGCAATGGCAAACCACTTCTGGATCATCTGCCAAGAACGTATATGAACAGGTCCCAGACCGAGAAAATGATGGAAGGATCCTGTTCATATGGACCTAGCGTCAGACAGAACACTAAATAAGGTGGTCTAGCTGTTAGAACGCTGGCCTTGTAATCCTGGGGTCTCGTGTTCGATTCCCGGCGGTGCCCGAATTTATAACTTGTGTTGGGCAAGGCCGTGGTCTCGGCAACACGGAGTTTTCCTCCGTGGCATCCCAACAATTACTCCATTCACACACAGAAGAAGGCAATGGCAAACCACTTCTGGATCATCTGCCAAGAACGTATATATACAAGTCCCAGTCCGAGAAAAGGATGGAAGGATCCTGTTCATATGGACCTGTCGGCAGACAGAACACTACAAAAAAAATAAAATCCCTAAGTTATGTCATCTCGTCGCGTAGTTTGCGTAGTTAAATAAAGAACACATAATGTGGTTCTGTTGTATTAAACCCCCACGCTATTTAAACGAAGTTTCTGGTCACTGTGCAATCGATAATCATAATTACATCTGGCACCAGGCTGTTGTCATGGTAACGAAACAAAACACTGACGTGAACAAATGCCGAGTGAAGATAAAAAGCGAACTCAGTTGTCATTTCCTGTTAGATAAAGTTACTGATTATATAACATATCGTTCTCTAGATGTAAAGTGACGAAGATAATTTGTATACTTATATAATGTGTATTTGGCAAAGTTGGCTTTTTGACAAGACTTCTGGCTTCAATTCTAGGCAGGGACAGATTTTTGTATTCGTAATTTCTTTCAAATCGATTTTGGATCCCATCCAACCTCCTCTGGATTTCTGTTGGAGATAAAGCGGTTGTAATATGAAACTGTTTGCGTTAGTGTCGAGGTTAAGAATCATTAAAGCTTTATCGCTACTTCCCGTGACATAGTCATGGTGTGGTGATTAAGCTGAGAGACTGGGGAGTCTATTTCTTCTGTATCTTCACAGTAAAGGAACCTTTTGCTATTCATTTTATCGAAAAATACGGCAGCTAACATTAAACGACAGATGTGCTGTTGGATTCTTGTTTAGAAGCACGAATACGTCTACTATAATCTATTAACCCATCAAAGGCCAGAGGTAACTATATATACCACTTGCTTTAATATAATTCTGCCTTTATGCATAAAGAATATATATATATTTCGTATGATTCTCAGAATATACGGAGACTGTTTCTTTAAACAGAGTCGACCAGTTGGAGTTTGTAATGGTGAAATTTTGTGTTTTCTTTTCAGTACGGACTGAATACTTATATAGTATTCTGACGAGTCTCGGCTTTGAAGCGTTGCTTGTACTTTTAATTTTATTTGGAAACTTGTTTCTACGTACATGTAAATCTTCAAGGTGATTCGACAAGAAGTGTGTGTCTAATTAGGTGGGTTGGTAGGTTGTGTAGTTTTCAATGTTAACCGCATGTCACAGCAAACCTTGAAACAGGTGAGAGGCACACAGAGACTGAAAGCTTGCATCTCTGCCGTGTTCCGGGGACAGAACCAGTCTTGACCATACTAACGAAATTAAAATGAAGAACGCAGACAACACCGACCACTTTCATGAATCCTAATCTGAATATACCGGATGTAGATGTTGGCATGGAAACAGGCTCTCCTCTATCTTGAGGACATTTACCCTGAGAAGTTGCCAACTGTATAAGGTTAAAAGTACAGTCAGCCCAAGATGTATCACAAATATGAGATGGGGAAAGGAATCCGAGCATTTAAAATACAAATACGATCTACCTGAGACGAGATGTAATTTACACAAAATATATGAGTCTTTTATGACTTCTCTGAACATTCTTCTGCAACGATTACGGAATTGATAGGCTATATGTTTTGATGGTTTGATGACTCAACTGAACTGATTATTTTCGACTGTCAAAGCATCAAATCAATCAATTTCCCATGTCCATGTTGGTCCACACTGTGCTATCACCCAGAAGGCCGACATTTTAACCTACTCTATTCCACTGTGAAACTGATTGACAAGACTACTGTAGCCACGAAGTTGGCTTGACGTGACAGTCAAGGCGTTGGTTCACAAGTGGTGGCAGGTAGGACGATCCTCCTAATTAAAACGTTAATGGCTGGTTGACACTTCAGACCTTCTGGTACCAGATAATGGGGCCATTAACAGGTTCGTCTCGTGTGATCCGACGTAATTAATTAAAATAAAGATTTATGGTAAGTGGCCTTATGCTACTACCAGTAGAGATGCTTATATAAGGAAGGTACTTGTACCATCCTGTAGGTCTACTATAAACGTGTGCTTGTTGACACCATCATAAGGGCGTCTGAACATGGGAGCAGCAAGCACCTCTGAAACGTCGGTATACTACCACCGAAATACGTAACGCGACAGTCGTCTTTTGTCATCTTGTTCTGTAGCATACATGGGGGAGATGTGACAAACATCTTCGAAGTTACTGCTGTGGAAGCCTCAAATACTCTGTTCTTGAGAGACGACCGACTTTACTCGAAGAATGTACCTCTTTATATTCCTGAGAGAATCTTTTGGTCAGGGAAATTCCGCATTTGTCACACGTAATGGAACTTTTGCGAATTTTCTATAGTCTCCTGCTTACGTCACACAGAGGACTAGACAACGTTTTGAAGAAGAATAGACATTCGTCTTTTATATCACAGAGGCAATGAATTGACTTCCGTCAGCCGCATATTTATCGGCTTACAGGAATTCTTATCTCAACTAACAGACCTTCACAGTTTCCCAGCGTTAAATGACTAATCATGATAATGATTATGGAATTAAGTAATCACCAGGTGATATTTCACGTTTTCACAATGAAGATGAATGTCTTCCGGTTTGTTGCGCCGTTTAGTCTGGTACAAGTTTGTCGACGGGGTTTTCGCCCTGATGATGGAAGCAGTATATTCCTCCAAAACGTCGGTCAGTTTCTACGAGGCTACACGGGGCGACCTTCCAGAAGGAAGTTATCTTCTCAACGGTTTAAGGCCGAATAATATCAAAACTAAAATTCAATAACGAGAAATATCGTATATTTAGCTGTCTTTTGTGATTTTGTATTTTGTTATTAATGCAGAATTAGATGACTGGCAGGCGAATTAGAAATCGATCTATACTATTCCTTTTTTTGGTAAAGAATCAGAATAGAAGCTTTTCTGTTCTTGTGATACTGCAATAATTTTTAGTTTTTTTTCTACAAAACCTGTCAGACATAAAAGGGAAAGTTTGTAGACGCACGTTCTAGTACTGAAGTTACTATACTGCGTGTGCCCCCTTCCTTGAGAATGGAGAAACACGAGAGATTGTTTTTTCGTGGATCTCGTTATTGGCTGTCATGCACTTCGCACAAATGGATCACCATTGTCGTCCTCCATACAGTTTCTGAATTTAAGTGTCTCTGATGATTTCTACAATAATCAGACCATCATATCGGCCGTTCTTTTCAGACGTTTCTCGGAATGCAGATGCCGACAGTCCTGTGTTATGCTTTCATGATTTTATCTTATTATGTTTGAAGATGGCTGTCTTCTGGAACGTTGCGTCCTATAATCTAACAGAAGTTCACCAATATCCCCCCCTGATGATGGAAGCAGTAACCGTCTCTGAAACACTGGTATACTTCTATCAGACTACACGATGCAACAGTCCACAAGATGTTCATCTGCTAATTCCCTATTATCATTACTTATCTTTACTATTTAATGTAGTGCAAATAGTTATGTCGCCATGGTAACGTCAGAATGTATTATTATTTAGTGTTCTGTCTGACGACAGGTCCATATGAACAGGATCCTTCCATCCTTTTCTCGGACTGGGACCTGTTCATATACGTTCTTGGCAGATGATCCAGAAGTGGTTTGCCATTGCCTTCTTCTGTGTGTGAATGGAGTAATTGTTGGGATGCCACGGAGGAAAACTCCGTGTTGCCTAGACCACGGCCTTGCCCAACACAAGTTATAAATTCTGGCACCGCCGGGAATCGAACCCGAGACCCCAGGATTACAAGGCCAGCGTTCTACAATGTACATTTAATAATACGTCATTGCATTTAAATGGATACGTGTCATATGTGCGTGTGGTGCAAAAATGATCTAAGGCTAAGGCTTAAATCTGACTGTAAAGTCAGAAGGCAACCGACGTTATCACTTCTTCGTGTTATTTAATAGAAGTGTGAGGTTAGGTTTTGTAGTGATGAATGAGAGATAAGAAGGTGATTATGAAAAATTAGTCGGCAGTATCACGGGTTTAATGTCACCATTTATTTTAAATTGTTTATTATATTTATCCTGTAAAAAAAATTAAAAATAAAACGAAAAGTCAAAATAACGGAACTTCAACCGAACGACAGTCGAGTGTGAATAAGGTTTATCCACCAAACCGTATCAAAGGAAAGTTATTATGATCTTAATTTTTACCAATTAAAGTGGAGCTTAACTTCTCGCCCCGAAAACGCTCCCGTGGCGTGAAGCATAAGTAGTCCTATCGAGATGACAGCTATTTTTACTACGTGAAAAGTCAAATTTATTTTGTTTTTTTCTAAATAAGTTGCCTAAGTCAGAGTCACGCAGACCTACATTTTTTAGGATCTAGTAAAAATTGGGTTAAATTTGGTCACATATTTGTAGTTTGTTTTTTTGCTTGAAAATCTTTAAAATTGAATTTCAGGAATCATATTTTTTTAGCTGTGACAGGCCAAATATAATCGAAGAATATTCAGAAATCGAAGTATTGTAGGTATTTAAAACCTTTTCCAGAAAAGATAATGCATAATACTGTCGTTATATTTTATTTAAAAGCAATTTTATCCCTTGATTTTTGTTACAAAATGTGTTACATACGATAGAGTAAATACAAAGCAGGCAGGCGCCTACCTGTTAATATCTGCCAGCTGTAAGATTTTCTCGTCACTTTTATCTCACTTCTGATCTTGAGATTATCAGCCACAATCCACACTATCACTACATTATCAGTGTCCTACTATCACATTATGCTGCTAAAAGCTTCGTTTCCACAGCATATAACAATTATTAATTAGTTATAATTTGTATCACATTTCAAGAAACGAGTAATTTTGTTGCAATGAAGATATCCAACGCTCAGTTCTTCCGATGCTTATTCTTCTTATTATTTTCTTTGTATCTGAAGGGCAGTATGTACACACGATTCGACAATAAACGTATGTAACTAGGCAACAGACTGAATAATGATGACGACACACCCGCACGACACGGTCTCAGTTCACACAACGCAGCAAACTGACACACCACTGGCTGCATGGAGAATAGAGAGATAGAGACGAAGAATGTTCCGCCACCTACCTGTCGCGCATGCGCTGTGCAGACCACATTGCGCATTTTTCTTCAGAGTCGCTCCGCAGTAATGGAAAGAAACTCTCCCACTCAGCGGTCGTTGGAATTGTAATGTGGTTCATGGTTCTTTGTGTCTGAGTGAAAATACTGTTCTACGATTATGAGCGGTAAATCAGCCTTGATCATATCAGAATCACGTTTCGCCAATAAAATATCTTCTTTGCTTTCTATTGAAAATTTTACGTAATAATGTGAAAGTAATAGGCCGAGAGTCTGTTCCTATAGACATGGTAATCATTTATGAAAATTAGTTTTGTGGCGATTTGTATAAAAGAAAACATCTAAATACACAAACCACATTTTGTAGCCATCGGCTTTTATGATTTTGCTTCATTGCAGACATGGATGTAGAATGTACAGAAGAGTAAAGTGTCTAGGACTTCATTTCTCTGTTGCTGTTTTTTTTTTTAATTTTAGCTAACATCTAATTCAGCATAGTGAGTACCCATGGAAATGATGCCTGATACTACATCTTTCCATATTTGGAACCTGAATTTAATTAAAGTAATTATAGTTCATTATTTGTTCCTTGAACTAACTAACTAGGTGGCTTACCGAACCCGAAGGTTCATCACCGAATTAACCAAAGCCCTCCACCGGACCCTGTCCTGGGCCAACAAAATCCAGTCTCCTTCGACTCCTATCTCCCATAGATCCCGCCTGAGATTATTCTCCCATCTACGTCTAGGTCTCCCCCGTGGTCTCTTCCCTTCAGGTTTCCCAACCAGTACCCGGTGCCCACCTCTTGTCCCATCCATGCGCGCTACATGCCCAGCCCATCTCATTCTTCTCGACTTAATCACCCTGACAATATTGGGGGAGGAGTACAGATTTTTAAGCTCATTATTATGCAGTTTTCTCCACGCCCCATCGTCTTCTCTCCTAGGCCCAAATATCCTCCTCAACGCCCGATTCTCAAACACCTGCAATCAGTGTTCCTCCCTCTGAGTGAGAGACCATGTTTCGCACCCATACAAAACAACAGGCAAAATTATTGTTTTGTATACTTTAATTTTCAGGTTCTTAGAAATCAGACGGGAAGACAAAATATTCCATTTGTTCCTTGAAGTGTATTAAATTTCATGTATCAGTTAAGAGTGTAAATACTTTACTATTTATTACAGTGTATTTTAAGTTTGCTAAAGGTGAATGTAGCATACACGTCTTCACAAGTAGGAGTTCATTAGAGGCGCAATTTAAAGAATAAATATTTTAATTATTTCAGAGCTGTGTAAGTCTGTTTTGAGAGAAGTCCTGACGAAAGACAGATAATTTAGGTGGTTTTACAAACAATGCGATGTTGCCTAAAGTTTAAGTAACGCTTCGTAGAAGACTGTATTAACTATTTAATGTTGCATATATTTTTTTTTTCTGGAGTGTTACGAATGAAATATGAAATAAAAGACACAGTTCTCTCCCATAACAGATTCACACATCCGAGTGTGGGAATTATGCACTGGCAATATGCAAAGAAATTCTCAACACCTTTCTTTCATGGTGTTAGACTCGTCATAGATCATGTACAGAGCACGACAGGGGGGCCGTCCCCTGCTTTATCACAGCTTCCTCGCCCTGAAACATCGCCCACTTCGATAAAACATCGTATCAGATTCGTTAACTCCCACTAATCCAGTTTCACCAAAATCGTTTGTGGTGTCTGCCTGGATGAGTGAATGAGGTTCTTTAGAATCTGTCACGCCTTTGATGGTGTAACGCATTGTAAAGGTAATGAAGAAATCTCCCTCGCCATTTTTTGCAACAGAAAGTTAACACAATATATTTTCGTGTGATACATACACGAAGTGGCTGAATGGTCCCTTGAAACGCCTACTACACAGAGTTACATCATTCTAGAAGACAATTTTCAGCATTAAGGTATAAATAATCTCTTTTGTTGACGTTGAAACAGATACACCAAAAACAAAGAACAAGCTGGCTGGGACTATGAGATCATATGCCACTTCAGCTGTAATAATAAATGTGGCACATACGTGATTCTTCCGTGGTGTTTTTCTGGGGTTTCCGTGTTTTTTTTCCTTATTCTAATTTCTCTTTCCATATCATAAAATTCTGTTGTGGTTTCAATTTTACATTCATAACTGTCAGACATTTGTTGAATACATTTTGTCTCGGTTGCGAGAGCAACAAATTAACTGTGTCTGCTACATTTTTATATCGTCTACGATCAGGCACTAATGCCGATCCAGGTGGCTGCTTCGTCTGACGCGTATGGTTTTACGTCGCCTGTTCGCCGAGACCACGGTCCATGGATGGTTGTCCACGTTTTCCCTGCGTTTGCACGTATCAGGCTGTCTGGAATTTACGAAACTGCTATTGAAATAAACTAATATTGTGGATTTTACAAGGAGAGATAGACAGTTCGCTGTGAAAACGTTCATTTGTTATTATTTACCTCTGTTTAAAAGTGCTTTTGAAAACTAGTAATTATCTAGTTAAATGATGATATCCCTCACAACAGTCACGTCATTTTACTATTTGATAAATCTCTGTAAATGTGTAAGAGCCGGTTAAAATCGTTGAATGTCCAGATCAGAAGAATATTATTTGAAGAAACTATCTGAAGTTTATGTTACTGTGAGATTGAATGACTTCTTTGCTTCTAAGTCATGACGATGATTCTGTTCCAGCTGTGACTATAGGTCTCAGAGTTTGTCAGGAGAGTTTCTTGCACCAAGCGAGACACAGCATCTCATCGATGCTTTCCATAATTTAGCTTGAATCGTTAATTAAAAACTTCCATGTTGGAAGTTTTTAATGAGACGTGGAATATAATCCAGGCACTACTATTCGCAAACAAAACCCATAACTACAATCTTCCATTAAAACAGCTTATATAAGACTTGCTTCATTAAGTTTCATTAAAATCTGTCATTTTGTTAATTACATTGCCATAAGCACATTCTTCCTTGTAAAATAAATTGTTTTCAATAATATTTACGTAACAAAATATGTTGTAAAATAATAGCCTGTGTTGGGTACTGACAGAACTTAATAAGAGAAAGTAAATTATTTAAATTGTTGAACTGCAATCACGTGATTATGTATTTCCTTCATTGTACATAACACAAATTAGTTATGATTTCTTCAGGGTAAAGCCCGATTCTGCAATCACATGATCATCATAGACTGTATCTACTGCCATGAAACGTTAATTTAGACTATATTTGTGCCCAGTGAAACTATTTAGTGATTGTTAGCGTTATAATCGCCCACCTACGTTTATAAATATGTATCTTAAATCTTGGTTGTATAAATAACTAAATAAAAATATTTTAATAACGATTTCTACATACACAGCTGTAAATATCATATTAATCATTAACAGGTTTATAAATTTGTTTGTTACTACTTTTAGTCAATGAATATTATTTCTTAATCAAACGATTTACTGACTATCAGTCAAACGATTTCTTATTACGAAGGTCAGCCCAGAATTTGTGTGTGAAAATCGAGATGTTTCTATTATCAAATATCAAGCATTGCAGCATTTTATAATTTGACATTTCAATAAGTAAGCCGTGTATTAGGGAAGTGTTGTTAAAATGAGTGTAATTGACGCTGAAAAATCATTTTAATGACCTTATCTTTAAATTTTATGGTTAATTTCTGCCTTGTCAAATACTATTAACAAAATTAGACAAATCACTTAAATAAGGAGGGACATTCTTCATAAGGATTTGGAAGAAGACGGCCGTGGCTTATTTTAAGGCACTTCTGGCATTTGCCTGGACAGAGATTTGAACCTGGTACCTCAGTCATTATGGCGGTACCAATTCTGATCGGTTCATTTATATCAGTTATTTGTTTTTCGAAGCGTAGCAAAACCAATGGAACTGCTTCGTAGTAACACAAGAGTTTCTGATTTTAGATATAACAACCGAAGGCTGTTTGGCGTGACAATCTTTCGTGACGCTTTCCATATTGTAAATGTATTCTATGAACGCAAAATCGTATGAAGATCTGACCAATAATAATGTGATTTACCACATCCACCCAGATGTTCTTCATGCGTTGTTTCTCATAAAGGATGTTTACGGAAGTTATTTGGTGCGAAATTTCCTGAATAGTAGATTCGATACGTCACAGTACGTTAATAAGACAACAGCGTATTAATACTGACACAATAAATCGTGTTTGTTGAGATTTGGAAAGTGAATTTTTTCACGGCTGATGGAGCCTGTATGAGATTCGGTGTTCTTTGAAAGAGTTTTACAAAGTTTAAGGCGTGAAGTGTGTGGAATGTGCATGTTGTCAGGAATTAACCAACGGAGAATAATTAAGAGATAGATTTTGCTGCACAAATATTCACAGAAACGACAGCAGTTTAAAATAAAGAATTTCCATGCGGCCTGTACGATGTTAAGAAATGTTCGTTGTTTTTATAGTGTATACGCGTTCATCTAGGAACATCTCTTGCTCTCACTTTCATTAAATGACCAAAACTGGAGAACTTAGACTCAAATCCCATTTGATAGAGTTTGATTATTTTTTATTATTCGAAATCCTGTAAATATAAGAGCCGAGACACAATTTGATCACTCCGTAGGACTATGCCCCAACGTTAGTTATGTATGTACTACAAATGTCGCAGATCCCCATGCATAATCATTAACTAAAACTGACTGCCATCAAGTTTACAGCACAATTAGCAATTCCCTATTAGCTGTGGAACGTAATCGTCTGTTAAACGTATATACCTCAAACAAAGCCTGTCTAAAATCATTAAACCAACTGTGGATAGCGCATAGAGAAATGGACGGTTACAATATGGATTCTTAATAATTTCCAATAGCGGGTAGATTTATTTATATTCAGTTGAGGTTCACATTTCCGCCCCAGATTTCATAAATCACTTCGTGAGACAACTGAACTCCAGCAACATGTCTTCCTTTGATTTGTTTTTATTACCGAAGAGACGATGACTAGCATATCAGTGTATCAGAGCCCTCTAGCAGTAAGCATTGCAACGACTGCCATGAACACAAACATTCGCAACCAACACGACGTTCGTACAGTCATCATGACGTAAAGATTATTTTTGCTGGATTAATATACGTGGTAAATATATATAACAATTGCATTCTTTAATAGTAAAGTTACGTAATATTTAATTTTGTATATATTCTGTAAAGAAATGGAAGTCCGTGTGTTATAGATTTGGTTTTCAAATAACTGCCGAAAAAAATCTTCTGAACGAGGCTTCCTGGTAACCATGGGCTACAGTTCAGTTACTCCCTTGACATCAAAGGAAGTATTCCCGTTGAATTGAGGCGCCACGTGGAGGGTATTAGAGTAACTATTCAAGCATGCCAAGTGCTGACGTAACGTAAAGAACTTGGGAACATGGCGAAAGGCTTGTAGATAACCAAAAGAAAGGAAATTATTTGCTAGATAGCTTGGTGTTTTAAAGTGATTTGTATTATTTTGCCACTTGTTGCGTAGTGCATGTTTTATTACGAAAATCCAGGAAAAAAGAAGACCTGAAGATGAGTGTAGATGCCTATGGACCAAGCTCGCAAACGCTTACATTCTTGGACACGGAAGAAGCAGATTTGATTGGTGCTGATACTCAAGGATCCGAGTTTGATTTCACAGATTTTACACTACCTTCACAAAGCCAAACACAGGCTTCACAATTGGATGCTGGACAAATCCAAACTACACAAAGTCAGGTAATGTAGGACTTTAAATGCATACTAATTTACAATGTTTTGTGTGTCTTAAATTAACATAACCTCACTGTAAAACAACTCATGGCTTTTCAAATAGATTTATCACAAAGAGCGGTATGTTTATTCTAACGGATGCTTTTCAGGGTATTAATGTGATTTCGTACACTTACATTTTAGGTGAATGGCGAGGTTGGAGAAAATGGTATAGATACTGACCTAACAGCTACAACTAAAGCTCTTGGGGAATTGCAGTTTGAAGAGGAAGATGATGAAGCCTACTACAATAAGGTTTGGAACATTTGTTATAGTAAGATACAGTAAGACAGTAAGTAATATAGTAAGATTTTTTCCAATATTAACAAAGTTTGTAATACACTGGTGACCATTGTTAACATAAACTTATTGAGGGAATGTTACTTGCATATTTATTGCTTTATATGAACAAACCCATGTTTGTCTGCATACATACCACAGTTATTCCTACATCTCTGCAATACACCACCTGTTTAATTCTTGCCTATAATCCCTGTTACATAGTCACTTGAGATGAAACATAGGTTTATCACTTCACGTCGACATCAAAAGCATTGTCACTGGAGTGAAAACAAATAACATCCCCCATGAAAGAGACATTTAAGACCTTGAAGTTTGTGAGAGTGTGGGTGTTGAATGCATTTTTTAATGCATAGGTTATTCTTATCCTTGAATATCTTGACCATGGGCAGTATCACCCTCTCACAGCACTGTCACACATGAAGGAAGTCATCTCATTGAAGGGCCATGGTGCTTTAATGGATGAAAACACAAAACTGTGATTTATTCTATGTGGGACTCATACAGGTGGTATATTGACAGGACAAATATCTCGGTAGTTTCTCTGGCAGTTAATTCAGAGAAAATAGAGGATTCGTCTGTTAATGATTTTGGATATCTTTGTCATCATAATAAATACGAGTGTTATTTTCTCACTGAACATTATTCATATCAAAATTTTATGCCAGTTCTTTTGCGCAGTTCTCTTTTCTTGTACTTTTGCCCTTTCTTGTGGCCGGAGGCATTATAATAGGAACAAAACAATTCTCCTTTCTTCTCCCTTTGTTTCTCATACATTTAGGCACTTTATGTGATATTTGCAGCTTCCACAGCAAGAATGCAGGGAAGTCATCTGTTCCCATTTCAAGAAAGAATAACATGAGTGTTTGAGGTTTTTTAGTCTGTTCACTTTTAACATTCCTTCTAGGCTGGGTCATGTCAAGCATTTCTTCATGAATTGGTTGATAATGTTTTATGAGCAGGCGATTTTATGTTACAACAGAATTTTATTTTGCTGTTAATAGATCACGTAGTTAAAATAAAGATATATTAGTAATGTGCATTGTACCAGCATCAGTCATTCTTACTATATATTTGTTAAAGCTGTGCTTTATTATTATATTACTTTAGAAAAGCTTTCTTATTAAAGTAATTATTAAAAGGATTTTTTTTATTATTATATTACTTTAGAAAAGCTTTCTCATTAAAGTGATTATTAAAAGGATTTTTTTTGTTAATTGTGAACAAATTATAATTAATAGTGTAGGGTATTGTGAGTCATAAAGTTACATTTAAATCAACAGCAACTTCTTAAGTGAGAGTGAGGTCCATTGAAACTACATATTTTCAACAAAGTTGTGAACAACCATTAAAGGGAATGTTGGGCAATTAGAATCTTGGTCATTAATTGGCCTACATTTGACCCGGAGAGGAAGGAGATTTTGAATGTTTCCCGGTGACAATTCCTGTTTATGGTATTGGGTATTATGGTGTATGACTGTCCTAGTCAGTCAGTAAATGTACAAGTTGAAGATGTAAGTTCTTCAACTTGTTACAATTCATTATTCCTTCTTATATACTTTATTTTTTTCTATTTTCCACTGAGTTCATGTTTCTGTTGCCAAAATATATTTCTTAACGTTATGTTTTCAAATATTTGGGTTTCTTACGAAAATACTGTTTCCGATAGCTTTCAGTTTGTCATAACTGTTGGAATATTTCTTTAATTATTTATTTTTATAAAATGAATTTAAAAATTTACCTGTATTTTTGAGATTCGTTTTTATACAGCGTATAATTAAAATGTATGTGTATACATTAAAAGCTGTGTCATGTGAGCTGAACTTCAAGATAATATCCAAGCAAATTTTTATTTGAATAATCAATATGCACTACATCTCATCTTTTCATTTTAGTGTTATTGTATGCAGATGCAAATTGCAGTATCGATTGTTTACAGGATTTGCCAGAATATGCATGTAAATACTGTGGAATACATGATCCGAGTTGTGTGGTCATGTGCAATGTCTGTAAAAAATGGTTCTGCAATGGTCGAGGAAATACGTCCGGTTCTCATATTATCAACCATCTTGTCAGAGCCAAACACAAGGTAAAAGAAAGTGTAATTATTATTGTTCAGAACTGTACAGCATATTAAATCATTTATATCGTATAAACTGTGTTTGTGTACTTTCATATGTGCATGCCAAAATATGTATTTTATATATTTTGGCGTGCAATTTTGACATCTGTCATTCTCGTTTTAGGAAGTGACTTTGCATAAGGATGGTCCACTTGGCGAGACTGTTCTGGAATGTTATTCCTGTGGTGTGAGGAATGTGTTTGTTTTGGGTTTTATCCCAGCCAAAGCAGACTCGGTCGTCGTACTCCTTTGTCGTCAGCCCTGTGCTGCCCAAAGTTCTCTGAAAGATATGAACTGGTAAGTTGTGTATTTTAGTCACCAAAATTGTGTGTGATTGAAGTTTTCCACCAGTCGCTTTTGTGCTGTATTGCCGCAAGTTTTTATCACGTTTTTTGCTTTCGCGTCGGAATAAAATTGTGACAAAACTATGCCTTCTATCTATAGTTTAATTAGTTTGCATTTTATGTAATGAAAATGTATGAGATAATATCAAGGAAGGGATAATTCGCGACAAACAGGCCGAGGAACACTTGTCTAAATTGTATGTACTCTGCCATCTTTTGCCAAACATTTATGATGAACAACTGGGTTATGTTTCTGTATGCTCTACTGTTTCGCAGTCTTCACCTCCCTCCCTTGTATGTATTTTTAGTGGTCATCCAAGCTCGGAGTTATGTTGTGGCCACTATAATCAGCACTTAAAGGGTTAACTTGAAACACTTGGTATTTGTATATAATCTGTTCGAGAAGCAGTTGTATTCCATGTCATGTAGAATTGGCACCTTGCATCTTTTCATATTTAGGGACCAAGAACAATGGAAGCCACTTATCGCAGACCGTTGTTTCTTAACCTGGCTGGTAAAGATTCCTTCGGAGCAGGAACAACTTCGAGCAAGGCAGATATCTGCTATGCAGATAAACAAGTTGGAAGAACTTTGGAAGGACAATGCTGATGCTACCTTTCAGGATTTAGAAAAACCAGGTGTTGACGAGGAACCACAGCAAGTATTGCTGAGGTATTTACATTTACATTTAATTATGTACTATTTTTCCTGTGATTTTTTAAAAAAAAATATGAGAATTTTAAAAAATAATTGCTTCTTATCTAGATACGAAGATGGTTATCAGTATCAGAACATATTTGGACCATTGGTGAAGTTGGAGGCTGACTACGACAAGAAACTAAAAGAATCACAGACACAAGAAAATATTGAAGTCCGCTGGGATGTTGGACTCAACAAGAAGACAATAGCATATTTCACTCTTGCTAAAACTGACGGAGGTAAAATTGAAGTACCGCTCTTTGACTGCTTCTTTAACCCTTCAGTATGGGATGAGTTCGGTTTATCTGGTGCGGTTGTACTATTTTTCTGACATCAAGTCATATATATATACAGTTATGAAAACTATATTAGAAGATTTTCTTTGTTGGTATTTGTTTAATATTAATTTAATATTTTTTGCTGTGTAGTGTAGAGTTTATTCGTGTGATTAAAATTTTCGAAACATGATCATACAATACAGCAGAATTTACAATGGACTACAGAAAATATTTCTCCCATTACATGTGAGAGCATGAAGCATAAATATTGCATGGTTTAACAGGTGTTCGTAAGTTCTTACTTTGCCGTTGTCATATATGCAATTCTACTGCTGAACTGTTTCAGTTAGAAGTTAAACTTCATTTCTCTTACACCACTGACAACACGTACAAAACATTCAGCGTTTCTGAGTATGAAATTATTACCTGCCAGTTAACATTTCGGGGTTTCCGCAGCAGCAGAATATTTTGGAAATACAGAATTACCTGGGGAGACAATAATAATTATCTGCTATTTTAAGAATTTTAAATGCAGTAAGTTAATACTGTGACATATAATAAAGATTGGTTTTGATATGCAGTTCCTAGTAACAAAACTGCCCTTTTATTAAAGACATGAAGTTGATGCATGGAGATGAATTGCGTCTACGCTACCTGGGGGAACTGCACAAGCCATGGTCAGGAGTGGGTCATGTGATCAAAATACCAGATAATTTTGGTGAAGAAGTTGGTATTGAACTGAAGAACAATAGTGGTGCCCCTACTGACTGTATCTCACACTTTGTTGTTGACTTCATTTGGAAATCAACTTCATTTGATAGGTTAGTATGTTTTTAATATTGTATGAGTATCATAAA